ATGTCCAAAATTTCAACAAACAATAAATGCAAAAAAATTCCGTTATAGGGTCATAGTCCTAAACACTGAATGTCCCAGAATTGGATAATCGATAGTATTTCCCACGGAAAACTTTCAGTTTTCTGCAATGCAACGGTGGCAAGAGTAAAATATAGAAGTAATTTATCGGGATCAAGATGCTTTTCTTGAGTACTTTTAAGTAAGTAAGTCTTGCAATCCGCTTTTAAAGTGTATATTACATTCGAATATTATGCGCGCTTCTGTATTGTACCGCCTCGAAAAGTTAACGGTTGTAGCGGAAGTAATTAGAGAACTCTTTTCCTCGTGGACTTAAACCCGGACATTCCCTCATGAATTGTAAATGTGGCCAAGTTTTTTAATCTTAGTATCGCATCTGGAATCTCAGATTGTCTATTTATAATTCGCTCTCTTCGCTGTAAATATAGCGATCGGAAGGATGTTTCGATTATCTCAAAAATGAAACACTGAGGGATTTACTCGGATTTATTCGGATTTATTAGAAATTCTCATCTGTTTTTGTAAATAAATCATGAATAATTTTTATGAATTACTTAGAATAATTATTATTAATTATTATTAATATTTTTGCATCTTTTTTATAAATGAATAGAGCTAAAAACGCGATATCGATATAATTTTAAAAGCGACGTCAAATATTCGTCGAATAAAAAATCATTTTCTTTCATATTTTCTATCGTTTCCATTATAGTGAAATAGTGATATATCTTGGCACATTTTTCGAAAAAAGTATACAAATATATATTTTCCGAGGAAATGTTAACTTTATCCTTTTGTGTGATGGTCATTCGGACAAAAGATCGTACTTTTCTTTCTGACCCGTCAGAGCAATCTTTCGGTTTTGTTATACATGCAAATAATCCTTCGGTATTCCTGAAACGGCAGCCTCACTGGGAGAACGAAATTTGAGGATGTGAAAAATAATAATAACCATAAAAAGGCGCTCAAGACATAGAAATTCCAGAAATAGTACCATCTTATTTGAATTATTAGCAACGATTTTGAAGAGATGTTTTGCGCAAATGGTTTTTACGTATTATACGTCTCCGTCACTATTGTAAATATGACATATTTTGCTTGAGAATCAAAGAAAAATTGCTGTTTGTAGAGAGAGGCGAATACGTTTCAGTTCAGTTCAGTGAATCGTCTACATATTTGTGAAAATTCATTGCAAGATCACGCGTCTGGAAACTTGATTTATTTATGCGGGTTTCAATGCAAGAACGCGGATGATTTCCATTAAATCAATCACAGAAAAGTATAAACTTAATAAATAGAAAGATCTGCATGTTAATCGTACGCGATTCATTTCGTGCAAACATAAAATATTAATTTAATAAAAAAACTGTATGATTAATAATTTTTAACAGAATTTTATAAGAAAAACGAAATATTATTTTTACGGACGATATTTTAATATGTTATATTATAATTAAATGAAAAGTTTATTAGATAAAGTATCTGTTTCTATCTATTACGTATTGAACGTACTAAAAAAATTTCAAGAACATAAGATTCAAAAGCCTCGAGACCCAAGAAATCAATGATTCGAGGATTTGAAAAAGTAAAGATATAAAAATCTCCTAAACTTGCAACAGCAAGGATTGAAAATATCAATAAGACATAGATTTTATAAAAATCTAAAGACAAAAAATCTGGCAGTAATCATCTGTTTTTTTTTATGTAACGATATAAAAGCTATTTCTATATCCCAATCAAAATCGTAGTATTATTAATATATATTTTATTATTGTTGTTTTTCAGTTTACTAGTATTTAAGAACATTATAGATATGAATTTAATCATAATTTAAAACAAGAGAAACATAGAAATCAAACAAATTAATTAAATAAGCACGTTAAATAGCTTATTGAGTATTTCTAAAAAATAAAAATTTTTTTATTAATATAACACTTTTATTGCAGCTTTTCGATGGAATGGCATATTTAAAGATTTGTAAAAAATAATTATTAAAAAAGAAAGAAAATATGTAAATAAAATAATATCCATTCTATAATCATTCATAATTTCTCGCTGCTGGTGTAAAAATACTCCGAGTGATCATTCCTGATTAAATAAATACAATGAAATTAATAAAAAAAAATTAATATGGAAAAATTAAAAGATGCTCAACTCGATGAATCGCGAAAGCTCGATTTAAATACATGCACTGTGCGACTTCTGAGTACGCACAGTGCTTCATTGGCACGCTATTCAGAGCATTCACGCCTGCACGCCTGTGCGTGATACGAAACGCGATTACGGGCGGCCGTCGTAGCGGCGCGTAACAGTGAAGTTTCACAACGTCGTCGTCGTCGTCGTCGTCTTCGTCGTCGTCATCATCGTCGTCGTCGTCGTCGTCGTCGTCGTCGTCGTCGTCGTCGTCGTTGTCGTCGCGACGACATTCTGATCTGCATTTAAATTGGAAAAAAAGCGTTAAGCTTCGCGCGTCGTGAACACGCTGCAACTGCGGCCGCGAATTTTTACATGCATAGCGGATGTGTGATAATTCTGTTACACATCATCAGGTGAAAGAATAGCTTTTTCTCATTCGAGTTTCCTATTTCTCATGTAGATTCATTGTTCTAATATTATAAATGATAAAAATAATAAAATTAAAAAAAATAATTTCCTCTTTGTTACAATATAATGAATAATTATCTAGAAAATAGATAGAAATCTCATTGTTTCATACTACATTGATACGTTTTTGATTACGGCGAATAATGTTTTGTAAATTGAGAATTAATGGAATATAACTTGTTAATGGAGAAGTTTGACCGAATGATATGCACATATACGTTATTTAAATATATATGTTGGTGGAATTTATAACTATGCAATTTGGATAGAATGTTATATAATTTAAATACAAATAAAATTTCTTTTTCCATATGCATTACGAGAAATACTATAATTTAATATAATCGTCGAATTGTCCAGAGAAATATGTGCAAAGTATGAATACTTATACATGCGTGCGTAACTTCTTTATGAACATTATACATATTTCAAATCATAGCTAGTAATAAAATAAAAATAATTCTGCAGTTCGTTTGTTTCATTATTTCTTTCATTTTTGATTGATTACTCTTTTTATTCTTTTGTGTGTGTGTGTGTGTGTGTGTGTGTGTGTGTGTGTGTGTGTGTGTGTGTGTGTGTGTGTGTGATTGAAGATATATTTTAACATTCATGCTAGCATCGTAGCACAAGCTCGTTACGTATAATAGAAGAGAAACATTTTTCCGCTTAATATTTTTCGATAACTTTATCGTTGTCTCGAAAATAGCAATGCTTGTTACTTTGATAACAATGTGGCTATTGTTACTCACATATGCGGTATTACTCGACGTGGCAATACACACATTGTTTCGAATAGCTTTTAGTCGATTTTATTGCTCCATAAAGCATTCAGTGATGTTGACGCACAGACATCGAAGCTGTAGGTGCACTATCGTATATGCCACGTGACGATAAATTATTTTACATCTTTCATTGAGATCTTGCCAATCTTTCAAAGGCGCAATGTAACTTACCTTTACATATCATGCAAAATTATGGCCGATAAAATATTATTGTGATATGGAAGTATAGTAATATTCGTATATACCTGTTACGTTTTATAAATATGATACGAAAACTAATCGTAAAATATAATTTTGCCATAAATATAGAAGAATGTCTCCTATTATGAAATAGGCGCCTAATATGAGATAGCGGCGTTTCTGCTAAACTAATAAACGCTATCTATTGGTTCCACTATAAATTTATTGCTCTTGGATTGAAAACTGTTTAATAATAAAAAATTCATTATTAGATTATGCCTGTAATCATCGTAAAAAAAAGATTTTAGAATTTGGATATCTTCATTTCAATGGGATGAGCCTTTAAATATTGTTTATTATTTAATAAATAAATATTTGGCAATAAATTCTTCATGTAATGATAGAGAAAGATCGTACTAATAGAAAAATACGGGATATGTTAAATTGTTTAATTACAGAAGTTAGATTTGATGATCGCAAAACCATAAAGCGTGGAAATCGTAATATCCAGGATCATAGTGAAAATTGTTGCTAAAGTATAAATGTTATTGTACAATAATAAAAAGGACAACCAGAATAAACGTCGAGTGCCTATTTCTGCGATGCTTGATTTCAATTTACCTGAAGACGAGTTCTGGAAGACGAGTTCTATAATGTATCGCGTATTCATTTTTCGCGCATCCTGGCTGTATTTATATTTAAAAAACATTAAATAAAGTTTTTTTAGTTGCAATACTGATACTTTGCGTTTTATCGATTTCTCGGGGTGTCTCATATTAGGAGTACAATTTTTTGACTTTGCGATTTGCTCACTTTTTACATTTCTTTAATTTAAAAAAAAAATGAAATTTGAATTAAATTTTATGTAACATTAGCTTAAATCTTATTAAATTCCCTTCAAAATAATCTATTATTTTTTTAAATTCTGCCCATAGACTTCTAGCATTTACCCAAAATGAACTCGGTAAATATTTATAACAGGGGCCTTCCTCTACCAATTTTCCGGGGTGTACAATTTTTTCCTTTTATTAATGAAAAACTTTCTACGAAATGCGAAATTGTATTTGTAATATATCGAAGAAATATTAAATTACGTGGAAAGAATAATTTTGATGAAATTTAGCTAAAAATTTAGCTAAATACAGATTTGAAAATAATTTTGTTAGATTATAAAAAATTCTACATAAGTATTTTGATAGTTCAACAAAATTATTTTCAGATCTGTATCTAACTAAATTTTTAGATATTTCAGCAAAACGTTTTTTTGTATAAAATCGATGTTGCACAAATCCCCTCGCGTCATAAATTTTACATCCTACAAACTTTAATTATAAAGTCAAGACTCGCAAGCGTCATATCTTTCTTCATATGTGTACTGCATGAGTTTTTATAAACAGAAGATTCATGTGTGCTTACCTGGATGATTCTCGATTTGTTGAGGATCGTGTTTCCCGATGGTTGATAGCGTTCCATGTCCCTCAGGATACTACGTACACCGACGTCGTCCGCGTCGACCAAACGAAAGGCAGTGATATTGACAAAATTGTACTTGAAGTCCTCGAGATCGAAGGTTTCGATATCCTGCGGAAAAGCGAGTGAGCGAATCGAGTCGCAGACCAAGTGGATCTTGAATGTGCGTTTCAATATCCCTAGGGTACTTACGAAAGTCGTGAAGAGGTAGTGGTACTTGTAATCATTCATCTGCAGCTGCAGGATCTGTAATGTATGTGAAACTGTACGATTAGTTGAGACTACTTTTGTGATAGAAAATATTATATGTAAAATATAAATCTATTTTAAAATCGGAACCAAATTTACCGTTATTTTTATCTCTGAAATATTTTTTTTGCGTATGAATTTTTGGAACAATTTAGAATTAATTTTTTTTTCAACAATAATTTATTTAAACATTCTTTCCCATAATTTTTTAATATCCAAATATTTTCATAATTAACTAGCAGATTTTCTTTCAATAATAGCAAAATATTTGAAAAATAATTTATATATGTATATAATACGTATAAAAAATTTAGGTGTGGATTTAATATCATGAATATTAATTCTCATCGTGTTGGTGATGTTAATGATATATAAACACTATTAACACAATGTAGATTTAATGCTATTAAAATTTTAAACCATAATATTAAATTTATACTCATAAAATTAAATTAAATGTTCATTTATATCAACATTATACGGTAAAAATTCTATAAACATCATAAAATGTAAAATCCACACATTTTTATTTTTTTTAGAAGATATGTGTTAATGTAATATGTGTGCAGAGTGATTTACCATTCGTAGAAAATGATGCATGTGCTCGGGTTTTGTGTCCACGATGATATTTCGAAATTCTTTACTCTTCATTTCGGAAAGGACCTGCCTGTATGAGTTGGGATCTGCCTGTCGGAGACTGACTTCGATACCACGGATTTTCGGTGATTTCACCAGCTCCCGAAGCTTCATTAATCCTAAAAGCCGAAGTAGATATGTACTTATCTCAATGTATTCCACAAGATATAAAAAGTTTTTTAAAAATTTATGAAGATTGTCGATGTCAACACGAGCGAATCATTTGTTTGTCACGATCTCCGTAGGAATTATCAGGTTGGTCGCTTAATGACACGGAAACCCGTGAATCGCGCTATCCGACGAAATCAATACTCTCCAGCGCCTAAGTAATCAAGGTATCTGACTTGCAGGTCTTCCGGGGAGAGACAAGCTCTGTTCTCTTGCAAGTTACCCGCTGAAACTTTGACTCTTGAGATTCTGACGCATGTTGGAGACAGGCGACAACGTTTCGATCTGTCAGTTTCTATTGGACGGAGTGCCGAAGTCGAGATAATTTCACCCATGCAAACGATCTGCTGATTGATGCGGTCGAGTTTACTTGAGCGTATTGACGTCTAGGCCGATCGTATTGATTATACCATGTTAACGTATATATTAGATAACACAAAGTTTATATTTATTCGCTTAAATGCTTCTAATGATGAATATAAAAAATAAAATCACAATGATCTACTAATTTTACTTGCATCATTAGTTATCAATTAATATCAATCATTAATTTAATTTGAAATAAAAAATTTTCTATAACAGTATAGATATGAGTTACACTTCTATTTTGTAAAAAAAAAAGGTAACGTGTTACTTAAATAAAATAGAAAAAAATGGTACTATCATAGACCGTTTTTTTCAGAAAAGAGAAAGGAAGATATCTATTTTGTAAAAAAAAAAGGAAAATGTACTTTGTCATGTATTCTTGTACATTAAAGTGGTAGCAGTAATTAATCTAGGAGCGAGTAAGAAACCGAATTTAATTGAAGCCGTGTTGAGCAACTCGAGTAAGACCAATGTTCTCATGTAAGCAGATTTTGTATCCTGGGGGACAACATCGGATGACTATCTTGGGAAACACTATGAATGACTGGCTGGAAGTTAAACGCGCATGTTTCACTGAAGCACCAATAGTGACCGAATGTAATATCTTTGCGGTCGTCACATATCAAGTTGTGTTTAAAGAAAACAGTGATAAGAAAATTATTTTTACATAATAGTATAATACAAATTCAACATTTATAAAAGTCTATTTTATAAATATTATATAACTTATCGATTATATAACTTATTTTTATTGTGATATTATCAAGATATCTCATCGACTTTTCATTTTGTTTCAATTTAATCATAAACAATTGTTCTACAAATTTTCTTCTAAAAAAAGTTCTAAAAATTTTCAAGTGTGTAATTTTTTTTTATTTGCATGATTATTAAAAAAGAATAACTATAATTATTAATAAATTAGTATTAATATTTTGCGCAAGGTGTGATAACGAAAAGTTTAAATAGGTAATGAAATTGGTTAGATGAGCGTTACAGTTTGAATTGAAAATAATAAGTTGAATATTTCTTGCGGTTTGTGGTGTGACTCGTTGCAGTTTAAATTATGAACACTCTGTGTATACTAAGAACGTACTTTCATGGGAGTCGTTTGAAACGGCGGTTTTAATTAAAATAGCATTTCGAGCGTTTTACTGCTCTTCGTAATTTCGCGGACGACATGCGAGATAAAGATCGGAAGAGAAAGAAAGAGAGAGAGAGAGAGAGAGAGAAAGCGGTACCTTTTATTAAAATTGACATGGCGAGAAGTCATAAAGAGGATGCGTTATCGCGAGTTACGTTTCAAGGCGTTGTAACAGATACAGAATACGAACATCCATCAAAGTGGAAGGATGGTACGTCGTTTACGATTCTACAATGTGAGAGAATTGTACAATTTACAGATTACTAACTAGGGAATTGGCATTGCCTGACTTAACATACATTGTGTTTAAGGAATATCGAGGAAGACCGCGTTTCTAGAGAGCGAAACGTGACGTGCGGAAATGAGCGCAATGCGACGCAATTTCTCACTACGATCCGCGTCGCGGTTTTGAACTTAACGGCATAGTATTATCCTGGCTTTCAACGATGAACATTGAGAAATGTTTCTGCATATTTTGCATGTTTATGTATAATAAAATTTATATAATAAACGTGTTTCATAATCTTATATTTTTGTATTTGAAAAGAATGATGATGTAGAAAACGAAATTTGCTTCATATTTTCTGTTTGATTCTTTAGATTAAAATATTATTATATATAAAATGTTCGTATTTGTTATATTTTTTAGAAAGACTTGGTAACACTTGTTCGACACTCAACTGATCGCAAATTCGTAGAGAGAAGATGATGATTATGACCAGTGTAGATATAATGGGCTCTTTTAATTTCTTCGCTATTAGGTGACGAATTTTAGTAATTACTTATGAAATTATTTGTTTAGTTATACCATGATGCTAATATACCATTATACCATGATGCTAATGTGCTAAATATCCAGTATTTTTGTTTTCAAGCATTTTAAAACACTTGTTCGACACTCAACTGATCGCAAATTCGTAGAGAGAAGATGATGATTATGACCAGTGTAGATATAATGGGCTCTTTTAATTTCTTCGCTATTAGGTGACGAATTTTAGTAATTACTTATGAAATTATTTGTTTAGTTATACCATGATGCTAATATACCATTATACCATGATGCTAATGTGCTAAATATCCAGTATTTTTGTTTTCAAGCATTTTAAAACATTTTCAATATAGCTTACATTTGAATCAATTGATTAAGCATAAATCGAGAAAAAACACCCCGTTCTTTTAAATCCAATCGATAATCCTACGATAATAATAATAATAATAATAATCATTAATAAAAAAGAGTAAAAATAAAGATAGAAAATCACTAAGAAAAATAAAGAGCTAAGTATTATTGACATTGTATAAATCATAGGAGAAATCTTACCAAGATAATTAATTGCATCACTTATATATATAAGGATTCTGTGAGGTGCGAGATGAAAAAAAATTACAAGCCAAATTAAACGTGGCGGTACAATAATTGACAATAATTTCTCTAAAGGGTTCAGAAGAAACGTTCTATTCCTATGGAAGATAAATTATCATATTGATTTTTATACACTCTAATGACGACCACTTACGATTCGTGCTCGAAATGTCGATATGCCTCGACAGTGCGAAATATTGTGCTGAATTGGCGCACGAAAGGAAGCTGTCAACGATTACTTGCTTCTTCCTTTTTCGTTCTTCACCTCGAGTAGATCGCGCGGTGACAGACGATCGAAATAATTGGATCGCCGGCTGTCTTAAACATGCGCATTTCAAGAGGACGGCCGAATGAATATTGAAGGTGCGAGTGAGCGGCGGCAACTGAAAGATTCGATTTGGAAGTACTTTGAGAAATAGCGCTTTAGAATATAAATGCGTTTTTTGTAAAAAAAGATACTTGATGACGCTTTTAATAATATTCCAAGAAAGTAAGAGGGACAACTTTACTTGCGGAGTTGCAATTATATTTCGACAAAGAATGAAGAAAATATGCAAGTGCTTTTGTGAAAAAGTTTCTTACAAAAAGTTATATAGTTGATTCTTCCAAATTTACTATTATATATATGACATTTTAAAGGAATTATATCTCTTAAAAATCTCAAGATTTTTTTAGATAAAATTTTTTTAGATAAAAATTCCATAATGAAAAAAGAAAAGATCGATCAGTGTACTGTAATATACAAAACTAAATCAATATTTATTAATGCTTTAATTCTAATCAAATTTCCAAATACTACTTTGCTGTAGTAATAAGCAAAAAAATAATAAAGATAAGATGCTAATGTTTTGTAAATATATTAATTTCAAATTCAATTAGATACAGTTAAATTTGCAATTCAATTGAATCCAAACAGATATTTTCAATTTTTATTTTTTCATAAAAGCAAAAATATATGAAAATCAAATGATAAAAAAAACAGAAAACAAATTCGCATTTGATATTTTTCTAAAATAATTAAATAATTTTAATAACTGTAGCTATAACGTATTGTTGAGAATATTTGAACAAAAAATATTGAAATACAGTAAATACATACTGTACTAAAATAAAGCCTTTTAAAAATGTTCTATAAAATAAATAATTGAAGAGAAAAAAATGAATATATATCTGTTTAGTTATAAATATATTTTAATAAAAATATACAAATCGATTTTAAACTTGCAGATGATTTCATTCGCAAATATATTCTTTTATTGACATGTAATTGTATATCATTTTTTCTTTTTGTTATGCATGACTATCCTTAATAAAATTAAATTGGATGTAACAATGCATTTTTTTCGCGTATAGTTATATTTTACAACAACGATGTCCTTCTTAATTCATTGACTATCACTAGTTAGCGAAGATCTTCTTTCAAAATAATGTACAAGACGGATTTTTATTAAGTATTATTTATTAAGTACGTCAAAAATCGTGAAGAGGCTTGTTTTCGGAAGATTTGCTCATCCCATCGGGACTGGTCAGTCGTTCGTGCGCAAAGACATATCGAAGAACTTCGACGATCGCCGAGTTATACGAAAAGTTCATGAAGACTTTCGCTGCGTTTGGGAGCGAATTCCCACTTTTGCGATCCTCCATCGCATCGCCATGGTTCAGCTATCGTGTAAAACATACGCGCTCGACTGGACACGTTATATGGGACCGAGTTGGTCATAAAATTCTCATTATGACAAGGGGAAATTCTTGTTCATGCACGCAAGAATGCACGCGGTAGGATATTCACGGAGAGATTTCCGCAAAATATGATAGTGATCATGTATAATTTTCACAAATGCACCACTCATCCTCCTTGCATATTCTTCGGACTTCCTCGTAATTACCGTAGTATTACGCTCAGATTCTGTGAAGAATTTCGCCAGAGTTCATGTTTAGAAGCAAAATCATTTAGAACACGTGATTGTGAAATTAGAGAAGAGCAAGTCTGCTTAACGAAATTTGAAAATACATAAGAGAAATTATTGATCTCTTAATAATATTCAAGATACGTGAGGGAAATGAACTGGTAATAATAATCA